GGTGAGCTCCTAAATAACTGAATCTGACACTTAAAAATATTAAAATCCACAAGTGGAAAGGCCATGTCTTGTACATAGTCAAAATAATAATTAAAAAAAAATCTGGCTCTTCCTCAAGATTATTGGTGGTAGCAGAAGCCACTAGTCAAGATCAAGCAGATTAGATGTACTCAATTATAGATTACTAGTTGAGGGGTTTTTTTATGTGGCTGCTCTAACAGGAGGAAAGCCTAGTGCTAGCAAATATGCTACTATATAATCCCCTTTGTATTCACGTGTTGGCCTTAGCTGTGCTAGGGCTCGTTATCTGTTAACATACGTGCACACACCTCTGTGGCAAACTTAGTTCATGCGGGTATACAGATCTTTGCTGACTACCCCTTGTGTTTGAAAACCTCGCACTTAGTTGTTCGCATCCTCATAGGTTACATAAAACTGACAGGTAAATGGCAATTATTCTGTCAAAGATTTGGTCATTATTATTAATGAAATCAATACTAGCTAGCATTTATGTGACATCTAGATTCTCCATCACATTTTCAATCATAAAAATATGGAACCAGCTGTCAAAGGGCTTTTGAGGGTTTGTTTTTCCCTTGAGCTGAAATTTTTTCTAGATATTTATCAAATTAATTGCAGGATTTATAGAACTGGTTGTTCTGAAAAATGCTTTATAAAGGAGGCTGGTTTTCTATTAAAGAGCTAGCAGAGAAGACAGGATGGAATAAAACTGCATCTACTAAGTTCTCATAGGACTTTTGTACCTAAAACAAAAAATGGAAAATGAGTCAAAACAGTTGAGTTCAGTGTAGTCGTTTTATAATGGTCTAAAAATAATCTGCTCTCTCTAACAGATAAAAGCAAACTTCTGAAAAATGTAGACTATATTTAAATTTTATGTATTTGTTATAAAAATACAGCATCACTTCACATAATGAGTTGGAATTCTGTTATCTGGATGAATCATCATCCTCCAAAGCTGTTCCTAAGCAGCATGCTGTCCTTGAAAGTGCTTGAAAATAGAGAGCTATAATGAAGCTGGCCTGGGTAGCTGCTGTCTGGGGAAGATAGCTGCTTCTTTAGCACAACTGTACAAAAGAGGAGCTTGGACAGGAATTGTAAGGGTGCAGGGAGGATTAAGCTAAGTTAAGAACTTTCAGATTGACAGAAAAAAAAAAATTATGACAAGACCAAGTCTGAGGAGATTCATTTCAACATTGGCAGCCAGAAGAGTGAGCTTTGCAGGTGGTGTTCGGTAAGGTGATAAGGGCTAGGAGATATGTTTTGCAATTCCTCACCTCTGTGACAAGTCCTTTTCTCAGTGATTCTCAGGTCACCAAGGAAAAGTGAGAAAAGTTGCAAAGGAAGATGTAAAGGATTTCTACACTTAGACTTATAAGCAGATTACTATTTCCCACCCTTTCACACTTTGCATTTCTCAGACTTCTCAGTCCACAAAGCTCCAAACATCCAGATGGAAAGATGACGTTCTTTTGTATTTACTGTGAACTCCATCATCTTGCTCCAAGTCCGTAGTCACATATTTATTTGCTTATTTTAAGAGCAATGAAACAGTTGGTCATATCAGTTATCTTTTGAGGATACATACTGCCATACTTCGTTGAGAGAAGAAACTACAAAGATGCAGACTAGTTTCTGAAGTCATTGAAAAGTACCAGTGAATGAAACAAAGGATTTTAATTGTTTTCACTGCACTTTGACATGACAGTAGCTTATGTAACTACACAAAAGTAAACTAGGTCCTCCTTTAGTTTCAGTAGAAGAATAAAAGTGTGGTTTGGTTTGGTTTTGTCTCTTTCTTGTTTTTGTTTTTTGTTTTTATTTTATCATTTCATGCAATATTTACTTGCTGTTCTGTTATTTAGAATACAGGAATACCTGCAAGTCTCCTCATTTTTTAAAATTCCCTCTTCTCTTTTTCAAAGTATGCCCTGGTTCCTGAGACACTGTAATGCATTGCCATAGCAATCTTTGAGGAGCACTAAGCCTTTGCATTCACAGGACAAGACAGCAGTGGGGTAATTATCAAGAAAAAAATAAAGCCCTTTGAGACTTTATTCAAGCCTCTGTATTACAGGACTAGGTTATTTCAGCCAAGTGGGAGGAAGAAGTGGGAGATTTCAATGCATTTGACTTGTGGACTGAAATGTAACTATCCAGATGTGGCATATAATGTACACATAATAAATAGGAGTAGACGGATGGGACACATGGCTTCTAGAAAAGAAAGATTTTGAGATCATCTGGGCTGCTTTAATGGTGGCCCACACATAGTCCGCAACCCACAAATGAAGCACCCTCACACAAGAAAAAGACAATCTAATTTCCTGGAGAAGCAGGAACAAACAGATCATATCCTGGCCCATTTGGGGGCCTAAACATGAAGCTTCTGCAGTTAGTCTGAGTTTTGTTTTTTTGTTTGCAGTCTTTCTTTAATACCTGAGTTATTCAAATTGTGACAAGATTCTTTTGTTCTTTTATTAAGTTCACAGAATTGGACTGACAATTGTCAAAAGATTTAGCAGTTAAAGGGCTTTTTTATTTGCTTGTTTCCCTTACTGCTTTTAGGTCTGGGTGCCTTTTAAAGGAATAAAATGTTGTTCAGTAATTCTTTAGCTGGCCTTTTAAAAGTAGCATTAACTAACAAAATGAGACACAAATTAGAAAGGAGCAATATAAAGAGAAAGCATGCGAAGTTGCTTGTGAAGCAGTCACATGCTGTCTGCCAACCCTGACAATTTTTTACCAGTGTCTAATTGTTTCAAATGCTGCTTTAGGCTTAACTTGCAACAGTATTGTGAAAATGCTTTTCTTGACAAGCTCTGTCAGATTCTGCTTATTGGAAGCTCAAGTGGCAAAATGCAAGACATTTAGCACTTGGAAGTCCTTTTCTCCTAATAATAAAAGCTGGTAAGTAATGCAGATAGATAGTTTTCTCTTTGCTGCTGGCTTATACTAGAGCACTTGTTAGAATTACTATAGGAAAGAACAATTAAAATCATGTCTGCATTAAGAGCCTGGGAAAGTATTTATTTGCTTTATTGTTCATCCGGTGAGTGAAGTGGCATCCAAAAGTTAACCAAACACAACAGCCTGGTTATTCTGACTACAGTCATTGTCTTTCATTTCTGTAATATTTCATCATTGTTCCAGCTTTTGAAGTTGGGCCCCCTGAGTGAGGCAAGCTAGACCCTGCTTGCTGTGGGTAACATAGTGGTGCTGTGAGAGGCTTGTGTTTTGTCAGATGGTGCTGTTTCTTCAGTGAATGTGAATGCAAGTGAAAAACATTGAATTGAGCAGCATTCATTTAGATGGGAATATTCTGACCCCAAAAATACTCCTTCTCTACCTCAAAAATGAGCAACCAACCTCCTGTCACCAAACTCTGCCCTGCTACAGGCTGTGATTGTAGGTGTGCTGCTATTTGCAAGGAAACAAACTTCACTGACCTTCTTTGATCTTATTTTCATCACCAACATTTTGATCAACAACTGCAAACGCCTTTGGAGAGCTCTCGACGGCACCATATGACCTGGTAAGGGAAAAGAGCCTGTGTTTTGTCCAGTAACTCCCACTGAAATTGTCCTGGTAATGGTCTAAGCCAGTGGAAATGCTGGTTATGGGTTGTAAAGGACCCCAGGAATAAAAGCAGGCTGCGATAAAGGATACTTCCCAAAGACCTTAGATATAATACCTTAAACACACCTTAAATGTAATACCCAGGCGGCTATATGATCCTGTCACGCTACTTGTCACCATTCATTACTCAGGTGACAAAGCTGATCGCTGTGTCTCCTTTATGCCTATCACCCTGTTAACATCTATTACAGATTTTAAAAGAGGTTGTGTAACAGGTTTAAAATTATTTTTGAAACATCTTGATTTTGAGGGTGGTTACTGGAAAGGGCGGGGAGAAGGGCGCATTTTCAGAGGCTGGGCAGGTGACCTTAGTAAAGAAACCGTGCCATGAACCTGCCCTGAAACAGACGTAAAGACGGGGATGTTCCCGGCCACTTAAAAATTTAAGAGAATTTCAGAGATTTTTTTTTTTTTTCTAACTGGAAAAATTCCCATTTAAATGCTGCAGCCTAGAAATAACTCGTGTTCAGTACTAAAACCGCCACCAACCTTGCAGGCTGCGCCCGGCAGCGGTGCTCGGCGGCGGCGGGAAGGGGCCGCTTGCTCGAGGCGAGGCTCGCTCTGGCGGGAGCGCTGAGGGGAACATGGCGGGCGGGGGCCGCGAGGAGAGGAGGTGTCCCTCCGCGTCACGGGGGCCGTGAGGAGAAGGGGGTGTCCGGTCGTCTCACGGGGGCTGAGAGTTTACGGCTTGTGGAAGAAGGGGCAGGAGAGTA